TGTCTGTCTGTCTGTCTGTCTGTCTGTCTGTGGACGACGAAGGGCTAAACCGGGAACATTGTGAGGGAATACCAAGAACATTGTGAGAGAATACTAAGCAGCCATCCAAGCGCCTGCAAGGAGCTAGCGGACGAGCGCGTTCTGTCAGAGGCTCGCAAAGAGGCTGCAGAAGCCAACGAGGTCAGAACGGTAGAAAGATCAAAGTGGCAATTCCAGAATGGGTCAAATGTGTTGGCAAATGGTTGTGGTTGATGAGAACACTGTAGCTGCAGCGCTCGAATGTTTATTCCTTTTTCACTTGCGCGCCGGAAGTATAGAACCGAAGTCGGCCGACGCCCGAACATTTAAGAGTCTTTTGCTTTGATCGTTCAACTTTCCGCTCCTTCAGGAAGAGCTGCGGGGCCTTCGGGCCTGGTGGGGCAAATACGCTCCAAGCAGCCCCACCAGCAGCGCGCACGCGTCCGACATGAACTCGGACCAAAAAAGCTGGCGCGGTCTACAACGCTGCAGTTTGTGTTTCGAGATGCCGGTGGGGGTCGGGCAAGCAACGGCCGCATCCCCCCTCATTTCTGTGAGGGGGGCGGATCGTCCCGGCCTGGGGCATGGTAGTTGCCCCAGGCCAAAGATCGGGAGATTCCCAGACAGACGGACAGACAGACAGACACACAGATGCAGACAGAGACGGACAGGCAGGGAGACAGACAGAGACACACACACAGAAGATGTTCACAGCAAACAGGATGCAGAAAACAACCAACCAACCCACCAATCCACCAAACAAATGCGACGAAGAAAAACAAACCAAAACAAAACAGAACAAACAAATAAGGAAACAAAAGAAGACGAGAGGGTTGCACCAAAACGCAGAGAAAGTTTTGCACCAAACTCTACATGTTCTTTATCAGGGCCCTGCTTGAACAGTATTAGTGGATGCCCGATATTTTTTGGAGTGCCCTTTTTGGAAAATGTTCCGTCGCCGGAGTCGCTGGAGCAGCCACAGTATCTACCACGGGGGTCTCAGGGACCACGGTCGCATTGTAAAAGATCGTTTCATCCCCGATGGGTATGTGCACCTTAACGTGCCAAGTTAGATTGGCAAAGGCCGCCTCAGAGACAACACCAAAAAGACGAGAGGGTTTTGAAGCATTTGCCGTCAGTTGGACAACGCGGGCGCCTCTCGGAGAAGTGGTGGGCAAAGGAGGCTCAGAAATCAGGGATGTAAGAAGGCGTAGGCTATACTCACGACAATATCCGACAACCAGATTTGACATTTGCACGACCTTTCAAGATTCTGGTTCGTTCGGTTGCCGTGTGGCGAGCCGCATTCAAGTCAGTACAGTGCGCATGTCTATAAGTGTGTGTGTGTGTGTGTGTCTGTCTGCATCTGTGTCTGTTGGCTCTCCCGATCGTTGGCCTGGGGCCACTACCACGCCCCAGGGCGGGACGATCCGTGCTGTGGGCTGCCACCGTTTAGAAAAATCTATCTGGCACTTGAGAGCTTCTAGTAACCGTGCCCATGCCCAGGGGGTAAACCTAATCAAACTAGAGGGGGCCTGGGCACCTGTAGGTAAAGGCCAAAACTTAATCTCAACGAGGCGACGATCATCCATGACCGTAGCTTCGTTGCACACGGTAGGTCATGGATGCCGTGTGCCCCTGCTTGACATCAAGACAATCCGGCAGGATCCTGTGACTCCAACATTTACACCCGAAAGGGAGGCATGCGTGGCCTCTATCCTGCCCGGAAAGGAGGCTTGACACATGATACCCCCATCCTGCCCAGAAAGGAGGTTATGCGAAACGCATGCGTGTGCAAAAAAGACAGATGAAAATGAAAGAGACGAGACAGACAAAAAGTACGTGTTGTTGCCGATGAAGAGGAACCAAGTGAAGAGGGACAACCGATGAGCCAAACCTCATTGTAACAAACCTGGGGCACCTGAGCCTAGTTTAAAGTTCAAAATAGCGTACGCGTGCGAGTATGGGTACAAGCTAGGGCCCGGGCGAAAGTGCGCGCAAGAGAAAAGAAGGCTGAGGATGACTAGACATGAAGACAGAAGGACATGAAAGAAAATAAGGAAAAACGTCTGTGGGGGCCAATGAAGAGGGGACCACATGAAAGGGGACAAACCGATGACAGACCAAACCTCATTGAGAAACCAGTTGAAAAGGAAGGAAGAAAAGAGAAGGAGAGAAAGGAAGAAACGCAGGTGTTCCCAGCAACGACTCCAGCGTCCAAGGACACACCAATATAGGAAGGGCTCCCAGCTATGACAAAAGCATCGAGGGACACCCAAGCAAGAAAGACGGGGAAAGAGAGAGAGAGAGAGAGAGACAAAAAGAGAGAGAGAGAGAGAGAGAGAGACAAAAAGAGAGAGAGAGAGAGAGACAAAAAGAGAGAGAGAGAGAGAGACAAAAAGAGAGAGAGAGAGAGAGAGACAAAAAGAGAGAGAGAGAGAGAGAGACAAAAAGAGAGAGAGAGAGAGAGAGACAAAAAGAGAGAGAGAGAGAGAGAGAGAAAAAAAGAGAGAGAGAGAGAGAGAGAGAAAAAAAGAGAGAGAGAGAGAGAGAGACAAAAAGAGAAAGAGAGAGACAAAAAGACAGAGAGAGAGAGAGAGGGAGACAGAGAGAGAGAGAGAGAGAGATAGATAGAGAGAGAGAGAGAGAGGGAGAGAGAGTCTTGGGATGGTGTAGTGCCCCACAACCAAAGAAAAGGAGATTGCCGCTTGAGACCAACCTGTGTCTTGGTTCAGGTGGTGTTTGAACTAACAAAACTCTTCCCGTTTTTTCGCGCACCTTTTTTGGAAAGTGCGCGCTGGAAAAGTTGAAAATAGGGAGCGGAAGCCAAACTTGGAAATCCTTGGGCGGCACATGCCTGCACAATGAAACACAAGAAACATCAGAACAGGTTGTCAAGGTGCAGTATCAAAACTGAAATGAGAGCACGCAAGCTAGCAGAAAAGTACTTTAAGAATTATTTTTTTCATGTTGGTTTGTCCGGCTGGTTGTGATTATGATATTTTGAATCCAAGTCTAAGAGACAGAATTCGGCCACTGAGGCCAAGCTGTGTCTTGTGAAGAACTGAGAGAGAGAGAGGGGGAGAGAGAGAGGGAAGAAGAGTAAGAAGGGTACCAATTTTCTTCAGCAAGCACGGGCTTTTACCCAAACCAATTGGCAACTGTCCCTTTTAAACCATCCGAATTCCTTCCCTCGCAGTGAGTCTTTTCTGGATCAAAATCCATCAGTTATATACCAGCGCCTTCCAACAGGTCTCCGTTCAAGGGTTATTAAGCCCTAACAGGTTTCAATTGGTGACCTGTTGGAGGTGTTGGTATATGTATATATGTATAATATATATATGGATATATATATATATATATATGTATGTACATAGTTAGTTATATTTCTTTGGTTGTTTCGTTTCCCAGCGTAAACAACATGATATTCTTTCCGAACCATACAACACACGGTGGAGTCATCTCACCTTCTGTTCTACGATTCCCTTCCCCCGAGGGGCTGCTGATTCCAAGCAGAGCAGGGTGTCAGAATGGACCTGCATCGCCCAACCTGGAGTCCTGCATGGGCTGCTGAGACTATGACATGTTTTTTCCATTTCTCCGAAACATATAGTTAGTTAAGTTACGGGTGATGGACAACCTCAAGCTTCACACCCTGAGTTGTCATCCATAAAATGGATCAGTCTCTGAATGAGTTTGTAGATTTGGTCGCTTTCGGCCGTTGCCATGCGGTGCTGTTGCCCCAAAATCAGTCCACCCGGCCGCGCTGCTCGCTGCTCGCTGCTCGCTTCTTCCGGCAGGTGGAACCCAGCTTGGTGCGTTTGGGGTTCCTCAGCCGGGTGTCCCAGATCGCATCCGTCCGACGAGGAGACGGCTGCATCGCTTTGAGACGGCGTGCCGTCCCTTTTTTTTTTGCACGAGTAGAAGAGCCTTTTTCGTCCACTGGAAAGTCACACGTGGTGGCTTTTACTGGGCTAGGAAAGGTGCCCCAAGCTTTGGAGTGTTTTTTCGCGATGAAGCGCCGTGTTTACTTGGGGCCCTTCTCGGAGATACGCAGTTTCTGCATGAAAGGCCAGCTTTGAGGTCTCTCAGTTCTTGGTAGCAAATGTTGAGATGCAATGGGAGGGGGGGAAACATCAAAAAGCACGTTTCATTTACGAGGGTTTTCCCTGTTTAAGGTGGTTATTGTGGTTTCTGCTATTTGGGCGGAGGTTCCAAGAAAAACCGCAACCCTGCGCGACACCCAGGTGCAGCTCGTGAGAAGCAGGATGATTTTCGCGTCTATTTGGAGGTGAGATGTCCAGATTGAGATGAACAGTGACTGGACCAAGGCAGTTATGATCGTTCAGACTGGAATTCAAAGTGCCTTTGCGACCCGAAAAGAAGAGATTCGATTTCTCTTCTTCCCAGTATGCAGTGCTTGCAAAAGACATTAGCTCAAGGAAGCAGCAGCAGTTCTTCCACGCCACTCAGTTGCAACACATGACGCCAAGGAATGCTTTTCACACCGACCAATCACACCTGAATTCCAGATCAAACACAGTCTTTCCACAGCCTCAAAACGTACACTCGTTCTTGGTCTTCTCTCCCGACCGCGCCAGACCGCGGAGGGACCGGCGACAACGCTCGTGCCCTGGCGCATGCCGAAGCTCAAGTCCTTTGAGCCCAGCTCCGCCGCTCGCTGGCTCGACCCCGAAGCGGCCGACGAGCCACCGCCGCCGCCGGCCCAACCAGCGAACAGGGCGGTCCTCACGGTCGGCGCCTGGCGGCAGGCGTTGAGCTCGCTGGGGCTTGGGGAGGGCGCGCTGGCAAAGTTTCAGGCGCTCGGGGTTCGGGAGTTGGCGGAGGTGAAGGAGTTGGAGATCCAGGACAGGATTACGGCACAACAGATCACGACGTTTTGATTTCTCTTCAATTTGAGTGATTTGAGAGTGTTTGGAGTCTTTGTTACGAAAGCCAGCCTTCGTAGAAGGCGCCAGCTGAGTTGTGCTTGGCGAACGAAGTGAGTAAGTAGGGGGTCTGGGGGGGGGGTGGCCCGAGAACGTACCACGTAAACTCGAAATTAGGTGGGGGAGAGGGCTGCGCGGAAGTAAGGTTTTTGAGGTTGAGTTTTTGTGATTTTTAAGGGGGTGGTGATGCAAGAAATTCAACTTGCATCTTTGGCATCATCTGAATGGTAAGGTGTAGCTTTACAGAGGCCGATGTGTTGTAGCTTCGTGCAGCTGTGAATGCATAACCTTCTTACACACCTATATAAGGTCAAAGCACTAATGAGTCTTCAAATCCGTGGATTGCTGCACGTTTCTCAAGGATCTAGTGGTTGACGGAAAGGGACATTGAAGTGCTATACCTGGCAACTGAATTGTAGCGGTTGACGGAAAGGGAAATTGACGAGCTAGACCTGGCAACTGAATTGTAGTTAATTACCCTGGGTCTGCATAAATGCTATTTTGCATACCTCTTACACTCCTATAAAAGTTCAAAGCAGTAATGAGACTTCAAATCCGTGGATTGCTGCACGTTTCTCCAGGTTATCGAGCGGTTTGTAGCGGTTGATGGAAAGGGAAATTGACGTGCTAGACCTGGCAACTGCATTGTTGCTACCCAGGGTCCGTATAAATGCTATTTTGCTATACCTCTTACACACCGTATAAGTTCAAAGCACGAATGAGACTTCAAAGCTGTGGATTGCTGCGCGTTTATAAAGGTTATCGAGCGGCTGACGGAAAGGGACCTTGAAGTGCTATACCTGGTAACTACCTTGTAGGTGCCTCAATGTGGGACAGACCGGGAGCCAGCAAGGTGCGCGGGTAGCTACCGCTGCACTTTTACTATCTCTCTTCACAACGTGCTTGTGGACAAAAAGCGCTGGCTTTCGTTTCGCAGCTTCTCAGATTGTTTGAGCAATTTAGATGGGTTTTGTTTCAGGATCGTTCGCTCCACACCGCGGCTTCGCTTCGACCCTGGGTCGCCGCGAGGATCTGGAAGAGATCGGGCTCACACGGTTGCAAGTGCGTCGGCTGCAGGCTTTGGCAAAGGAGGCGCAGAAGGCCGCGCAGGAGGCCGCGCAGGCGGCCGCGCAAGAGGCCCCGCAGGAAGCCGCGCAAGAGGCCACGCAGGAGGCCGCGCAAGAGGCCACGCAGGAGGCTGCGCAGGAGGCCGCGCAAGAGGCCCAGGAGACCCAGGCAGCCCTAGCTGGAGAATCTGCTGACCCTGCAGGGGAATCCAGAACGCCTCCAGAGTCAGAGGAACATAAAGAGCTGGACATAGAGGCCGGGGTGACCCATATTTTTTTTGCTCAGTGCTTTGCATTGTTTTGCTTCTCAAGCATGGCAAGCGGCAAGCAAACATTTCCCTTCAACACATGAACAGAATGTTCGACCCCACCGAAATGTTCAATTCTTCAGCAACACCAAAACACGCGGCATCAAGTCCCACTTGTTCCAAAGCCACGACCAGACCGCAGAAGAAAGCAGACCGCCCGTGGTTTGTCCTCGCCAGGCTCCGCCGCCGCCGCCGCCGCCCCGCCGACCTCTCGACGCCGATGCCTTGGGCGGTTTCATGGGAGCACTCCGGCGCCGGTCCTCCTCACCCCCGGCGATCCGGCGGAGGTCCTTGTCCGTGCGATTCCGCTCGGTGAGCTCCTCCGCGCAGGGCTACGAGTTCGAAGCGAACTGCAGGTGGGAGGGGGCATCTGGTGCTGTTTTTTTTTGGTTCTTTGTTCTGTTTTCTGGTTTTGGTTGAGTTTCATTGGCATACCACTTTCCATCTAAATCTACACACCCCTTTGACATTGGCAACTTGCCAAACATGCAGAAGGTGAAGCAGCAGCAACTCAGTGGACAGAACTGCACACCAGCAGTCGCCTGTTCTGTGTTCTCAGACTCGGGGGGTCTGAGGGAGTCTTCAGTTTAGGAATGTCTGACATGGAGCTGGGTCAAAACCCGGAGCTCGACCAGTCTACCAGACCAGCTGCTTTCGTGAGCGAACGACCGACACCAGGCAGGTCGTGCGCTTTTTCGGTCTGGTGCCACCCATGGCCACATGTCAGGGGACAGGTTTTGCAGCACTGGCCTTGTGTTTTGCGGCTCTCAGTACATCCGCCCAGCGCGTCGGTCGACCCTGTCTTCGGCAAAGAACCATGTCTTTGGTCTACCAGGTATAAGTATAAGGCGACCGGAGCGGCCGAACCAGGAAAGCCCGGACGAGTGAGTTCTTCATTCAAAGGTTTTTTGTATCCAAAGAATCGTAACCAGTTCACCCCTTTCTGACTCCCATTTGTGGGCCCCAGTTCACTGGTGAAACTTCGCTGCCCTCACGTCAGGCGGGAGATCCTGGAGTGGATGGATGGTTGGGCCTGTGAACTTTCACCCAAAGCTCTCGGGATCCAGTGCCATGACTGCCACTCGGCACCTTTGGGTGATCCACACAACGACGTGTTGGAACACAACGACGTGTCTTTTTCGACGGCACGGCGCGCTGCCAGCCGGTGCGCCACCCAGAGTGTCTAATTTTTCAAAGGAGAATGGGGGGTGCCTGCTGCCCCAGCATTTGGGTGGTGCTTCTCGATTCCCAATCGAAAACGGCTCTCGAAGAACGCCGGATTGGTCCAGTCCTTTTCGACTCGAAGAGCCCGGAGCGAACGCGGTTAGGCGATTTGGTCCTCAAGCTCTCCTTTGGCATCCCAAGAGCTGGGCTCCTTCCCAAGTTCTTCCGCTTCATTACCCCCACCAGCGGGAAGTGCCAGAAGGCCTGCCAGGGGGTTGGGCCTGGCAGTTCTGGGATTTGGGCCGACCTCCAGATTTGAGCCAGATCTTTGGACGTGTGGATCAAGACCAAACACCTGAATACCTTGTGGAACGCACGACCATATGTCAAATCGAATGGTTCTTGCTTTTGGGGTCTGAAGCACCGAAACCGGACCACCCTGAGAACCGACCACCGGATCTGCTTCTGACCAAGAAGCTCAGAAAGTCACGACCAAGATTGTATACTTGGTGAACAGGATTGACACATATGAGATATAATGGTCCGGAAAACACTTGGTTTCTTTAAAGGGAGAGCATCCCGAATCCCCCCACGTCGTGGATCGCCCTCCGATCGCTCCGCATTCTCCGATCGCTCTGCCGAGTCGAGGCGGTGCCGCGATGCGGCGCCAAGGGACATGAGAAGACTCATACAGTGTTCTGTTCGGTTGTCGAACGACCTTCCCTCACATGTCTATCCGACATGTCATGAAAACTCTCCATCTCATATGAGTGTGTAGCTCAAATGTTCCCAGTGCGATCCACCCCTGGAAGGTTCGGACAATAGACTGGTCTAGCCAGCCACTAAAATACACCCACCAAGCCATGTGTCATAGGAATCCTTGCTCTTCTTCGAGATGAAGTCCAGAGCTCGTCAACTGGATCACGCCTTGGAACAGCTGCGAACTCGGAAGCGCCTGGCCGAGGAGGCCAAGAGCGTGCCAGTGACTCGGCCCTCCCTCCGGTTTTGCGGGAGCAGGGGAGCTCACCTGAGGATAGTGAGGTGTTGGTTTTTGTATGCGCAAGTTTGGTGGAAGTGGTTTCTTCGGGCTGAAGATCCTGAGAAACGAACAGATTTATGATATTTTCCTCAAAGCTTGATCTCTCATCCACCCACAACTGGAGGCCCAACCACCCCCACCATACTTCTGACTTACCAGATCTGACAAGTACCAGCACCATTCTTCATTCTATTCAGTTTGTGCTCTCAGTTGCCCATGTTTGCAAGAATCCTGCATGGTTTCGTCACAGCAACATGCCGCTACTGCATGGTTCTGCAAGAACCATCAAGTTTACCCACCTTCACGAGAAAGAATCAGACAGTGACTTGCAGAGGAAGACCCCTCCCTGTTCCACACTCAGGAGGCTGGTCTGCACTTACTTGCCCTCGTGGCGCTCGCCAAGAGCGACGTGGAGGGCCGCCGCACGCTGCAGCGCTGGGCGGAGCGGGCGCAGGCGGAGGAGGGCGACCTGTCCGTGGTGGTCGTGGATCCAGAGGATTGGTCCTTGGAGGCCAAGGAGAGGAGAGCCCGACGGATTCCCAAGGTGCCCAGAGGTGCGGTGGTGGTGTCGGGTGGAAGGGTGGTTATAGGCTTGGATGGGTGTTTGCCGCGCCAGGTAAGCACACTGGAGAGATGGGTGGGAGGTACCGATGAGAGGGAACCTTGGGGGAGAGGGATGGGGTGCGTGGAAAGGGGGTTTAGGGTGTGTGCGGGGAAGTTGGACCAAAAGGACATGGAAGTTGGCATGGTTTTGTTCTGAAAGGTCAAAGATCCCAGTGGGGAACACTTGCGCCTTCTTGGTGTCCTTTTCGTTCCTTTGGCATCTATGAACCCTTGGTTCTTGAGGTCCCGAACCCAGAACCAGAACCCGACTCTCATGGTGCGCCAGGGACGAGCCTCTTTAACAACGACTACTACCAGAGGAAGCTGGAGACGGAGGATCGTCAGGTCTACGAGGGCCGCTACTTGGGCGTCGTGCAGGTCTACAAGGCGAGACCGACCTCCGCGTCGACGGAAGGATGACAGCTGATTCCCGTGCGGTTCTTTTTGTTTCCTCGGTGGAGCTCCGGTTTTTGGACATGCTTCCTCCAGAGGAGACCCCTGAACGACCCTGACTGTGACTTTTCCCCCAGTTGTCCTGTTCGAAAACGGCTCAAGTGCCATCTTCAGGCTCCCCCACCGATTGACCGTTGTTGTAACGATCCCCGTTTCATCTTGCCAACTCCGCGTTCAGGAGCAACAGGCCTTTGGCTACTTGTGTCCCAAGGAGCCCCAGAATTTGCCCCTAGAGGTGCAGCGCGCGGTGCGCGAGAACAAGGGCCGGGCCTTGTACTTCCGCGGCGCCGATTTAACCGATGGCACCCAGTGCCTTCGCAGAGGCTCCAAGGTGGAGTTTCAAGTGTACAGAGACAACCACAGTGCAGGGGCCTGCAACATTAGCATGGCCCTCTCCAGGTGGCCGTGAAAAAGAGAAGCGCTATCGGATGGTGGCTTTGAGTACTCAATTTTTTCCACCTCAAAGAGCAGATTCCTTGGGCCCATGTGGATCAAAATTCGAGCCGACCAGTAGGCTGGTCTTGACTGCCCTTTCGATCCTCACCCGTTTTCACTGCTCGCTAAGCTGCTGCATCGTGAACAGCGATTTGCCAGACCCGAGCAAACCATCATACTCAGGTCGGAAACAAACCAAAGCCTGGTGATATAGAGTCGTATAGAATCTCCATGAAACATCGAAACATCCAGAAACATCCTGAAATGCTTCCAGACTCAGCCTGAAGGCGACTTCACCTTCGTTCCTCCGCGGCGAGTTCAGTTCACCCTCTTGCAAACGGCTTGCACCGATCCTCCGGCGAACTCCGGGTCCGACCTGCCCGATCCGCGCGCGAGGCCGACGACCTGCCGGAGCTGGATCCGCAGGACCTGAAGCGGAGCATGGACGAGGAGGGCGGAGCAAGGGAGGCGGCGGCGGTTTGGGGGGGTCGTTGCGGTCTACCAACCGGGGGTTGATTTTGGGCGGGGTTTAAATCGGATCATGTGGGCGGACAGACATCTGGATGGATGTCTGTTTTGGGTTTGGTGGTTGGTGTGGACGAAGGACGAAGGCCTGTGGATTCCAGGTCCTCCTGGACCAGTGATTCGGGCCCAAAGAACTCCAAGTGGAATGCAGAGCCCATCTTCAGACATGTCACCCAAGCCTGGAGAGAGGCCTGTTGTTTTTCGTAGAAGCCAAATGGAGAAAGCACTCATTCTTGGTTCCGAACCAGTGAAAGAGATAACCCCACTTGGACATGTTCTCCTCGCTGAGCTCCTCCTGCTTGGAGGTGACTTGTACCCAGTTCGACCGATGTCTCTTCCTTGGATTCGTTGTTGTTCTCGTTCTCAAGACTCTGGGAGCACACCTTGTTCCGCTTGGTCCACAGGTGGCCTTTCTTCTCAACACTCGAAACCACCCGCGACCCCGCTGGACCGCACCAATTCCTTGTTCATCGATGGGACGAGCTCTCCGAGCTCGGTAGGATCTGCCTCTCCTGGTCTTTGGTCCCCTGGGTGCCTTCTTGGCCACGCTGGCCATGCGCGGACGCGTCTTCGTGGCCATGGTCGCGGGCGCCTCTTGGCTCGGGTGGTGTGGCGGACGGAGGGGGTGATGGGGTGACTCAGTGAGGCGCACGGTGAAAGGAATGGATTGTGGATCGATTCTTCTTGAGGGGTTTCGTTTAAGACGGCAGGAGCGGCAGGAGCTTGATGTTTGGGTTGGATTTCTCATACTCTTCCCAAGCCGATGAGTCCAGGTTTCCATCAATGTCCAGTACTTTTCTGACATGTTCGGATTCATAGGGCTGCAATGCAGAGATTTTTGAAGCTTCCTGGAACTCCAAGTTTTTTGCTGAAATTTCAGGCACCAGTCAGACCACATTCACTTTCCCATTCTACCCACTTCCCAAAATCGATCGAGCAAATTCCCCTTTGGATCCCTTTGGCATGTGTTGGCTCTCACCCCACCACGTCCGGGTTTTCCCCGTCGCCCCCGTCCGCCGCTGGTCCGTCTGAGGTCCTGGCGCTCAGCGTGCCGTTGGTCACGAGCGTCGGCTTCCTGGCGCAGAGCACCGAGGAGAACCTCACCGAGGCGGGAGGCGCGAAGGAGGGCAACATCCATGAGGCGAAGCACCTGGCATGGAACATTATGGAACCTGAAAATGGACCTTAGAAGACTAGCTTCCTGAAGAAAAACAACACAGAGGGTTTTTTCAGGTTCCATGTGGACGTAGTTGAAGTTCTAAGCATGAGATTTGTCTCACTTGGCGCCGTGAGGTTCCCGGCTTCTGGACGGCTGATGGCTGGTCGAAATCCTTCGCGAAATCGGGGCCGATGACTTCATCGGTTCGCACTTTCAAAGCTTAGTCTTCCCAGGTGAGGATCATTGCAGCTGCTGCATGGTTTGTGATTTCTGCAGGAGAGGGCTGTGGGCCGCTGGTAGGATCAGTTTGAAGAAGAATTCTAGTAGGACATGGGGCGGGTGCGGTCTGGTGTTTACGTTGAGATATTGATCTGAGATTCTGTTGTTCAGAAAATTCTGCTCTGCAGGAATGGCCGATCTCTGTTCGGCCTGCACACATGCCTTGGAGGCGGGTGGGGTAGACGACGTGGAACCTGGAGAACGTCGAGCCTTTTTGGGAGGGACTTTTGCGGCAACTTTTGTTTCTTGGCTTTGCTCCGAAACCACCCAGCTGAAGGACTTGAGGAGAAGTCTATATAATGACAATGATGTTGGACATGTTGGAAGAGTTCCAGATACTTGATTGCACTCATGGGAAGTGAGTGTAGTGAGTCTACTGGATGCCAAGGGGCAGCTCTCCAGTCGATGCCAGGAGCGGAAAGAGAGCCTGAGGCCGCAAGTTCCGGAATGGTTGATGGTCCGCGCAGGCCTGAGACGATCATGGGTAGCACACCAGAGTTCGTATTGAAAAAGCAAAGACCCCCCAGGAAGCGACCCCCCTTGGAAGAAGGATATATAGACCCAAACCCCTTTTTGTTGGAGGGTCCACTATTGACCCACAAACCCACCTCTATTTGGAAAAGAAGCCCTTATATAAACGATTTTGAGACTGTTTGGTCTCCCAGAAGCTCTGATTCATGACCTTCCGGAGCAGCAAGTTCACTGAACAAAAAGCAAAGCACTGAAAGCAAAGCAGGCCACAAAAGAACCAGGTGGTCATGTGATGTCATGTGGCGTTCCCTCTCTTGGGCCAGGTGATTCCCTCGGACTGGCCCGTCTGTCCTCGCGCTTCTTCCCCGCGTGGACCGTCCACGCGGGTCTTGACCCACGTGGCGTCGAGATGCCGAGGCATGCTGATCACGCCCAGAGCCTGGCTTTTGGAGGAGCCACGGAAGACGTTCCGCGACTTTTCTGGCGCAGAAAGGAAGAAGAGCTGGTGCAGGGGAAGCAAGGGAAAGAATTCCTTGCGACTTTTGGAGGGGTACTACTTGGAGTTCTTGAGTTCATCTCTCCTGTTCTGGAACCTCGCTGACCCTCGTTCTGGCTGTCTTTCGTGGCTCAGGGGCGATGTCCACTGAGCCACGAATTCCGCAAAAGACCAATGCACCTCCAAAACGAAATAAACACTCATAATAAGCCTTATGCAACTATATACTATTATCTCCTTTTTCTCCAAGGCTTGGTATTTGTTACCATACAGCTTATCTCCAGCGCTCGACTATATCGACTATATATATATATATTTACACCTAGTTGGCAACGGTCCCGTTCGTTTCCTTCGAAATGTCCCAAAATTGAATGAGGAAGGCTCGCAGTAGGTTCGAAACCTCGAGAGCATTCTCGCTTTCGCTTGTCCTCTTGCAGGAGGCCTCTGGTCATCGAGCGTTGGCGCTGAGGATGGGCTTTCCAACCGAAAGACCAGTAGTAAACAAAAGCACAGATGAATTTGATGTTGGTTTCCTTTTCAGACTCTGTTGCAAGCAACGTAGCTAACATTTGTTTGTTAACAGGATTCTTTTCCAGGAATGCTTCCAAACAGTTTGGCTTGGCCATCCTTTTGTATGTTTGTATGCCTCCAACAGTTTCGAGCAATCCAACCGTTTTCAACAATTTTCTTGTTTGACCGGTCGTTCTTTGACCAGCAAAACGGGATGCTGCTTGTGTGCCAGGATGCTCCGGGTGGTGTGCGAGGCGCTCCTGCCCACGCTGGCCCTGGGCCACTTGGCACAACGAGTGGGGCGCGGAAGCGATGGTTGGGTGTGAGTGGGGCTCTGGCTGGGTGGCTGGCTGGCTGGCTGGCTGAACCTGCTAGGTGGTTAGTGTTCTGCTGCTGCTGCTGCAATGGTTACAGCAGCATTTGGTATCAGGGGCTGTGAAAAACATATGAACTGTCAGGGAGTTTGGCACAGCTCTTTCCCACACCCCTGAACAAGTCGGCCTTTCTTGATTATCGCGCTTCCTCCAGCATTGGGTGTGGTTGCTGAGCCAAACCGGTCTCGGCTGAGCCACTTGCAGGCACAATCCCCTCCTTCGAATAACATAGTCTAGAAGTAGCTTGACTCAACTCACATGCTAAGCTCGTGGTATGCCAAATCATCAGCTCAGATGGTTGAAATCCTAGATTCAGGCACTGGGCACATTCCGGATAGAACCCCCCTACATGCAGTAGCCTCGGGCTACACTCCGATCGAAAGCTTACAGACACAAACAGGGCGAAGTGTTTGGCACTGGTATGATCTATTTCGTTTTTGCACTCCTCCTTCCGTGCTTGATTCCCCCCACCAAAATCAAACTGTGCATGACATCGCCCCAGATGGGTTTCGTCGCCATTTCGTTGGGGCGAGCCCACCGCTCCACCCCTCCTCTCCGCATCCAAAACGGGTCCTCTCCGATCCTCCGAGATCGGCCGAGAACGGAGGTTTGACCTTGCTGTTGCTGACGCCGCAGCTCGAAATGGTGCGGGCCCGACACCTTGCGTGGAATCGGGTACCGGGTAGCAGGTCGCAGTCCTTGGGATCCAAGGCGGTGGTAGAAGAGCTGTTTGGAGTGTGGTGCAAAGCTCGAAGGGTCTTGTTTTTTGGGGGGTGTGAGAGGCTCAAGAGACGAAGGTTTGCATCGTTTCTATCATTCAAAGGCAAGCCTGGCAGGATGCCACGGAGGCTGGGTTCTGTTCTCTCGAAGAAACACGGGTCGGAGAGGCCGCAGGAAGATGTGGCCGCATTTCTGGAACGGAGCTCTTGTGGCAGTGGGTGGACATAGTCTTCTTGCTTCAACAAACTGAACTGACAGACTTCTTGCTTCAAAGGACCAGCCAAAGTGGTGTCGGGTTTCAGCCATGCTGGCGAGCCTGAGAGATGCCAGCGTTGGCGGAGAAGCTTCCGGCAGCCGCAGGGGCAGACAAGCCTTGTGGCTTGGCGAGGGCCCGTGGTTGTTCAGAATGGAAGGGCCCCACTCCACAACCAAACCCAATGAGGTCTCTGTGAAGATCCCAGGTGGAATGTCAGGCCCACGGCCGTTGGCTCAAGAAGCATTGAGTTCGCCAAATCTAGTTGCTTTCGCTGATGAAGCTGCGAGCGTGGGTGCTGTTTCTGGCGAGCATCTCCTTTCGGAACGCCCTCGGAGTGCGACAACGAACGCCCAAGGTTGGGTCGAACCCACCGACAGGGTCGTTTCTAGGAGTCTGGGATAGTTGGGAGTCTAGGTAGTACCATCTAAGATTGCTTTTTGACAAGAGAGACACTCGGTTCCTAAATGATGACCATCCTGAAGATCCGAGGGGTAGAGACATCGGAGAGTCGTGCATGAGACATAGGTGGATGGAAACACAAGGAGTGACTGAGTGGCTGTGACGCATTTGGGACACATCGGGGCGGGTCAGATTCCATATCTCGCCATACCCTTGTACGACATCAGTCAAAGCAGAGGTCCTTCCTCTCTGTGTCATCCATCATACCATACCCCACAAGATGACAAGGGCTGGTAGAGTGGCGTGCGTGTTCGCTCATGCAGGTCAGTGTGTAAAATTGAAGCCGTTTAAGAACCAGGCAAAGTGTGTATGTTAAGACTTTGTCCAGGGTTGAGAGGATCTGTTGAAACTGGTGACCACTTCGGACAGGCAAAGATTGCATGTGTGGGGGACAGCCTGACGGCTGGCTATCCCTTCGATTCGGGACGGGGACCGGATGCCTCGGTCTCTGGATATCCCTACCACTTGCAAGAGCTGCTGGCAGATGAAGGTTATGAGGTGCGCAACTTCGGCAAGGGCGAGACGACGGTGGTGAGCGGCAGCAAGAGCTATCGGAGCGGCTGGTACAACGAGACCTGGCAGGTCCAGTCGGACGTTCCAATGACCATTGAAGACCTCATTGAGTAGTGTTTTTTGTATGATCAACTCCAGCAAAAAGAGGTCCACGTGACCTGTAGGGTGTTCTCCCCATCTCAGGGTTGGCCAGCAAATTCCAGCTTTCCAACAGGTCTGGGGTCTCCCAAACCCCGGCGGTTTTTGCTTCAGTCTGGCAGGAGGCGCTCCGCTGGAAGCCCGATCGAGTCTTGCTGATGTTCGGCGCCAATGATGTGAAAGAGAGTCGCCTCAAAAAGTTTGAGAACGAGTTCGAGGTCCGACCCTTTGGGGGCTCCGAAAGGCTCCAGTTCGTGACGAATGGCATGAGTAGTGGCAGTCGTGGATGAGAGAGAAAGAACGGAAGAGTGAGGATTTTCGGGTGACACCTGGTTTCGACACTCCCTGAAATCATCCTGGAACTGGAGAAAAACCACCTGTTGGGCATTCGGAAGACTCATGACTCAATCCGAACACGGGGGCCATGCGTTCTCCACGGCCCATGAGGATTTCAGGGAGTGTAAGGTTCTCTGGTTCCAAGCCACTTGCTCACTGGGGCTGGAGCCACTTGCTACGTATGTCAACACCATCACCGGTTTCCCCAACTTTTTGTACGTAGATCTCAGAAGAAAGGCCAGCTGCCCGTTCGAATGGGCTCTGGCAAAAATCAGTTTGCTTCAAGTCCGCCACTTGTGATGGTTCACTGTGACCGATGACGGTGGCTGTCTCAGGGCCGTAATGCAGAGTTTTTTTATTATATCAACCCCGGCATTTGGATTGTAAAATGTCTTCACATGGGTGACTGGGGGTTGAACATTAATCGAGAGTCTATGTACAGTAGGGCGTTAAGGGTCGTTTGTTCGTCGCTTTCTATTCAGCTTTGGTGATCACTTCCCTAAACCAAGAAGAAGTCACTGGACTGGCTGACACAAACCTGGGTTCAAGCGCACAAACCCGGGTTCAAGCGGGTTCAAAGTTCAACGGAGCATTTCTACAAGCTGTGGTCATTTCTGACTGTAGACATGTTTCCCCTTTCCCTACCAGTCTTTCGACTCTCCTCGTTTCCAGGACGCTTTTACCCAGCTGATCCAGTCTTTCTTGGATCTGGATCCACCACCGGTCTTGGCGCTTCTCATTCCCCCACCCATGTACGACAACAACATCTATGGACCCGAATTCGACCCGCCGGGCCGCGCGGGTGGCATGCAGCAGAAGGTCTACAACCAGTGACTTGGGGAGGATGCCCAACTGGGGCATTTTTTTGCATCTCTTTTTCCCCAAGACGCAGCTCCAAAGAGACCACGATGTTCCAACATGTTTCACACATTTTTTGGTGAACGATGGCCATTTCTTTGGTTGTTCCATTTCATATGGTGGCCTTGTCCTGCAAGTCGCCGGAAAACGACTACTGCATTGATGGGTCAAGTGCTGAGGCAACTTCCTTTGAAGCTGCAAGAACTGGCGGAGCGGATGCAGGTTTCCTTGATTGATCTCCATGAGTGCTTCTTGAAGCATGAGTCCTGCACTGATGCCCGGTGAGCCTTTAGCAGTTTTGTTCGGGGAAATTCCCTCCAAGTGGGAGAAAGACTTTCGGACTCTAACCTTGTGAGTACGACTTCTCTTGAAAAGTCAAGAATCATTGAAACAAAAGCATCTCTTTTTGTGGAGCTTTTCTTTTTTCCCAAGCAGTTTTAGTGTTGGGGTTCTCTCCGAGGAGAAAAGAAGCTGGCCGCAGTCTCTCGCAGCGCAGGTTTGTCCTCCCGTTGTCCTCTTCTTGTCCTCCTGCTGTCCTCGTGTTCTCCTTCTCCAGCTTGGCCGCCGGTGAACTTTTCTTCTTCTTCTTTTTCTTCTTCTTGTCCTCTTCTTGTCCACCTGTTGTCCTCTTCTTGTCCTTCTTCCAACTTGGCGCGGCTGCTAGTCCCTCTCCAGTCCTTGTCCTATTTTTTGTATTCTTTTTGTCCTTCTTGTCCTCTTCTTCTCCTCCTTTGACACCAGCTTGGCCACGGCTGCCAGCCATCCACAAGTCCCCGAAGTTCCATGATGTCACCCGATGATCCGGCGTCTAGTGCTCGCCTGCCAGTGCTCGTTGGTGCAGGGGCAGGGGCAGCCTGGGGCACGGGGTAGCTGTCATGTTTGGATGGATTTGGGTGCTTTCTTCTTCAGCTCGGCCGCGCCGAACTGCTGAGGACGTCGCTGTGAACTGCTGCGACTGGGAGGCGCCCAAGCCGCCGAAGCGGCGCGCTCGGCCCCACGCAGCGGTCCAGCAGTGTGCGGCGCACGATGATGCGATCCACCCCAACGATGAAGGCTATCGGAACATCGCGTTGATGGTACAGAGGGCGATGGATGGAAAAGACGTTTGCTGAAGCTTCGTGGGCTTCGCCTCCAGCCCCGGGAGCAGTGGAGGCGCGGCCACGCCGCTGTGATGCACCTCCTTCGGGATGTGCACGTGGAAGATCCTCCAAAACAGCCCCCCCAGGCTGGCTGTGAGCTGGCGACGTGCGAGCTGGGCGTAAAAAGCTGGCTGGAAGAGATCTCGAACAATTTCTTCCTGTCCACTGCATGACTCTACACAAGCGGGCCTAAGAAACCATGTCTGGGTTATGACCATTGTGTTGAATATGAAAGACGGGTCGCGTCAACCAGTGACATGACCCAAGGCATTGCAGGAATTCATGTCCTTGATCCTTCGAAGTCTCTGTGCACCTCGGATCCTTCGCGCCGACTTGGCCCAGGTCTCCGACTTTGCCATGCACGCCGGCCTGGGCCTCCTCATCGGCGTGCCGCTCGCGGCCCGGTTCCCCGGCCCCTGTCGTCGTTTTTCCGCGAGGAGCGGGGAGCGGCGACGACGGCGCCGGAGTCGGCCGGAGGCGATGCTGGTGCCTCCGGCGATTGAAGCGGGTGACGTGATGGTGCTCCTGACATGTCGGACTACCAGGAGGGAGGTCAGGGTGCTCCGGGATGGATGGTAGGAACAGCTTTTGAGCATTTGTTCCCGGTTCCTTCTCCAGAGGAAGTTAAACTAGTGGACCTCTGGTCGTTCAACTACTGTGAAGATATATGAAGCGCTGCTTCCTTTTCAGTAGTTCAAGCCTTATAACTTATAACCTATAATTTATCTCCTGAATTGGTCAGAATTGGTCAGGATAGGTCCAAAAACTGAACCATCTACTGAACATTTTCCCATTGTGCCGGCGCTGCGGGTTCCAAATCTGCGCCGCACCGATACACCGATACATGGATATCCCCCACCAATAGTTTGTCTAATGACTAGTGCTCTAGCCTTATGGGACAGTCTTTTCCCTTTGTGTGGGCGAAGAGGTTGCCACGCAAACCCCCCGAAAAAGAAGAGACGCAGGGCAATTAGGGATTGCCTGAGTGCCAGCCTGATTACAGGAGAGTCTCTCGCAAGCGGCCCGCGCTTGCCCAATCCACTGCGCCTGCAACCTACAGACCGCCTGCTCAAGCCAGACAAAGTAGTTCAGTCAGCCAGCAGGGCTCAACGATTGCCTGCAGGTCTGACTGCGGCCGCGCTGATGCGCACGCGTCTCTTTAGCAAGCCTATATTATCGCTCCGAGCTGGCTCTTTGTGACCTGCGGCACTGCTTTTTGCCACGTGTGCAGGGATGCCGGTGTTCATCGTGAGTGTATTCTCCAGATACAACGTGCCTTCTGCAGATATTGTCGGACTCCGGCAGACTTGTGGAATCCTCGCAAGCAATCCAAAATGAGTTCTTGTTTGTGTTTCTTCGCCTGTACTGCACGTTTTCTTAGTTGGCTTTGCTGTTCTGTTCTGCTCTGCGAAGCATCAGAAGCGAGGCTTTGCTCAGAATGCAGATGTTGCAGCTGTGGACGCACGGGCCGCGCAGGTTTGCAGATGGATCGCTCAACATGTGGCGCAGCCAGGGCTAGTCGAGCGAGCCCCAGCAGTCAATGCCCTCGCAACAGCACCGATAGTGCCAAAGCCATTTTTTGGGCTGAGCGGTGAGGAAAATCTTGATGTAGCCTAACAAGATATCCAGGTAGCCTGAGTTCTATAGAAGACTCCAAGAGTACCTGCATCAACAGCAGGATTTGGGTGAGCCGCATGTTGTCAAACCTCGACACACAGCTGACCGTCGTAGCAGCGTTTGTGTCTTGGACTTGCCCCTCCCGCATGCCTTGCGTTGGCAGCCGCGCAGCGCTGTGACACGTGTAGATTGTCTAGAAGCGGGCTGGGGGCTTTTGCGGTGACAGATGATGACATTGGTCGCCAAGCCAACCGTTTTACGACGCAACCCAAAGGATCAAGGGGTCAAAGAAAAACCAGTCATGTCTTTTTCGTGAGATCGTTGCTCCTGCGTGCACTGCAGAACTTCAACGGGTCACTTTCAGCTCGCCAAGTGCGGCGGGCTCTCACGCAAGTGTGCAGTGCAAATCTCTTGGCGTGCCAATTTCAGGGCCCTGTATGTCCCTCTTCCATGCTTTGCCATCATCACTCCCAACCTTGAGGGGAGCCAAAAGGAGCCGGCTGCGCGTTTGAGGGAGTATATTGTCTGGCCTTGTGGCTTGCACTTGCGCCCAAAGGCGCCCTTGGCTATAGATGCAACAGGGTTCTTGCACACGCGTCCAGACAACCCTGCTGGTTGTCTGGCCTTGAAATTTTGTTTGCGGTTGATGTTCGTATGCTTTACCGGTTTGTAAGTTTGACCGCTATGCCTTTTTTTCTAGATTCTAAGTTCTTGGATAACGCGTGGTGCCTGCCAAGCTGCAGGGGTTGTATGATTGGTTGCTCAATGCAAGAGTTGTAAATAGCAGTATATTGAATACCCAAGCAAATGATAAAACAAATAACTTGAAAAACAGGTTCTGATTAACAAAATCAAATAGAACAAAGCAGGTTTTTTAGAAACCAATGATATTTCAAACTAACAAGAAATAACTAAACGATTAGCAAATGATTAACAAAATTTCCATTCACACTGGATCTAACAAACAATCGGATAAGGCGATAATGAAATAGAATATTAGTAAGTGACATGCCTAATGAAAATATAGAAAAATATAGAAGCAAATAGAAAATGATTAACAAATCTTCCATTCACATGGGATCTGATCAAAAATTTGGATAAGACGACAATGAATTAAAATATCAATAGATGCCATACCTAATTGTACTACAGGAAAACAATTAAATCAATAGCAAATAGTTATCAAATTCCCCAAAAGCAGCGGCAAAGGCAAAGCCAGTGTGAGCTGGAGGTGAGCGGCTTGTTTTTCCAGCGAGAGACCCGCTGACGCCTTGGATTTTTTGCGTCGCATTTCTTGCAATGTCCCACAGCGCATACCCACATGTACATCCTAACGTAGTGCGCAAAATGCACTTCGGCAATGTCATGCAACGCATATCCAATGCAAATGTAGGCGGGACAGTCACATGCCATGCAACTCATATCCAAACTTCTGCGGGACATTTAATATGCATTCTACATGTGGTTGTAATGCTTTTAAGGGAGTCGTACCCTACTTGTTCCTCACTTTGACCCACAAACAACACACGCACACACAACTGGCTTATACAAGCTACATACCTCGGATAAGTCAATGACAATTTAATTAGTTAATAATTAGTAAATAACAATTAATGAATTAATGAATTAATCAATTAAGTAGTTAATTGATTAACTAATTAATAACTAATTAAGTGGCATGCCTTACAGGTGCCTTCACATGACATTATATATGGTATACCTTGCGTGACACACCGTGCAACCACGCAATGTTCATAACAAAATGCAACGCGTTGAAGTTTCGTTGCGGACTTGGCTCGTTTCTCTTTTTGTGGTCTTTCGCTTGCCTTTTCTTGCCTCGGGGTTCAAAAGGTTCCCACAGCCACGCTGTTAAAGCATATGTTGTGCGGAGGCCCAGTCTCTGCAGAGGAACGTCAAATAGAAGCGAAGCATGTGTACTATATAGGCAAGACGGCAAGACATCAACGTACAAATACAATCAACACCCCCCCCCCCGAGGGGTTTCTTACTAGAGTATATAGCTTGGCCACCAAATTGTTTCATATTCATGCCTCCGAACCCTAGTGCCAAAGTATCGGGACTTGTTGACAGATTCTCAACGGTGAGGTGTACTGATGTCTGTAAAGCACCGCTTTAAGTCGTGAAAATGGTGGTGGCCAACTCAGTCAGAAACCAAAACCAGTCAAAGGAAATTCGGACAGTACAAATCGAAAGACCAAAAAAAGAAACCACCTCGGACATACATCCTAAAGTCATCAATAAAGCACAGCCAACCAGAAAAAACGTAGGAAAGCTATGATTTGAAGTGAGTGGCTGGCTGCGACGGAACCTGGTAACCTTCGAGCATGTTGCATGGCTGTGCAGAAAAGCTGCCCAAGGAACTTGTCCAAAGGACAATGTTTTGTGCAAAAAGCATTAGACGGTTTCATTTGCATCAACGATGCCGTTTAAGAGATTTGAGCGCATAAAGATACCAGGCTGCAAAAGACATTCTGCATGAACTGAAGGAAGTCTGGGAAGTGGGTGTTGAAGGAAAATCGTCTTCCCGATTAGCATTGTCCTTGGAAACGCATGAAAAACACCATAGAGTCCGGGACAGCGGAGATATGCAGCGGGTTATGCCAGGTTAGATCGATCTACAGAACTGTGTCATCGTGTCACCTTCATCACCACCATCACATCTTTGGACCTCAATGCGCCTAGATTTCTAGACTTTCTTCTGCTACACCTCTAGACCTCACACGCACACTGTTTGGATAATAGCGCAATGATTTTAAAAAACAAGCTTTGGTTTCAACTCATTTTCAGCAATTCTTTTCAGCGCTTCACATCATGTCCTCGGAGATTTATCCTTCAAAACATCCAGTTTTGGTCTTCTGCTTCCAGAACTGGCGTTAGGTGCCATGGCCGGAAGACATGGAGCGAAATGTTTTGATATGAGTGGATCAAAACTGGCCGAACATGGTATCTTCATATTGGTACGCCTGCGCGCATTTCAGTGTTGCCAAGACTTGAAGGTCTCCTCCCCGCTGTTCAAGTTACCTCTGATTCAGGCGGCCCTTCAGGCCTCCAACGCGTCATTGTTGAGCTCCGATGTCGCTGCGCGACCTTGCTCGGACCCCTCCTCCAATCCAGACGAAAGCCACGAAGGGCCGAGTTGTACATTTCTTTGTGAGCCAGAACAAATACACGGGCCAGAAATTCGTTCTTTCTGCGAGCAACGAGGAAGGAGATGGTGATGACATTCGTGTTTTGGTGAGGAGCACTGCAATCGTATCATCTGTCAGTCTCAATGCTATGGCGCTCCTTGGAATCGGAAGCGAAACGGACAAATCCCCGAACAGGCCGTGGTCGGGAAGGTGGCCGACGTGGAGTTGGCTCTGAATTTCGCAAGCGGGAAAAGGAAGAGATCAGGTGTTGAGTATTTTGGAAGCAAAAGCAGTTTCCAAAGATTTTCAAAGGTTTTTCAAATCCGAACAGTCGTGACTGTGAAGTAGTGTGTTGTGTATGTGTAGCCATTGCCGAGGTCCACATTGCAGGTCTTGCCGGATGAGGGCCACGAAGCGTTTCCCAAGGCCTCCTTTCCAAAGTACAGCGTTGTCTTCTATGACGGGTTGGCGTCCAGAGAGCTCCTGAAGCCAGAGAAGACTGTGGTTGTGGCCAGCGTGGCGGTTGGGGAGTACTCATGGCATACCTGATGCCATGGGAATGATCCTAGAGTCGCAGGGGTGGCACTGGTTCTAGCTGGATGTGTTGAGAATAGGTTTCCACAAAAAAATCTTCGCCCTGTACAGTTGAAGGCAGCTTGACGCTACAGGATCTGGTCCCCAAAGAAAGGATTCCAGGATGAGGCATCAAGCAACAGATCTTGACTTGCCCAGGGCCCGAAGTGGGCACCGAATTAAGCAGCAGCATCGGTCGGCTCTCTAGCAACGCCAGTCGTGCATTGTTGCCAGGAACCTGTTTCAATGTGACTACAGCTCCTCTTCTCCGGGATATCGGTGTATCGGCGCCGCGCCGAATATCCTCCTCTCCGGGATATCGGCGCATCGGCGCTGCGCCGATATAACGCCCTATATCGGTGTATCGGCGCCGCGCACTAGAAACCTGCCACGCCGGCACGCTGCATCTTCCATATCGTTGCCCTCCCACATCAAACCTTGACTAGCTCCCAGATTTCGGGTCTGTGGTCTCAACTCCATCGTCCGTATACCCCACCTGCGACTTTGGACGAACTGGACTGCCCCCCAGAAGGGTCTTCTCCTCGTCAAAAACCCGCATTTCTTTTCCTCGAGCCAGGCGAGTCAGATCCTGGCCTGGCGCAGTGAAACTGACATGGAAACCTCAGAGGTGCGGGTCCATGGAGGACGAAGTTTTTAGGACGACGGTATGGTGGGCTTGGCACCAAGGTGGGTTTAGCTTTTGAAGTCCGGAAGTTGGTAATTCGTTCTTGACTCTCCAATGTTCTCTTGCAGGTTGCTCGTGAAGCTAGTATATAGTAAAGATCTCCATACCAGCCATAGGTGAAACATGGTCTGCTGGTTGCTTTAACCGCAGGATCTATTGTGCAGGTGGGTTCTTTCATCACTACAGGATGTACATAGGCGCCAAGATATTGGCCAAAATCTCAGGCATTCAAATTTCAAACCGTGTCAACCAAGTCCACATGTTCATGGAAAAGGCAGCACAGCCCTGCAACACAATAAGAATTGGCCGACACCCAATGGCTTTGCCAATCGCAGGTGAAGTTTCCCATCATGCTGCAGGTTTCTGCTAATCGAACAACCAGTGACCAACGTCCCACACCCTGGTGGATTGCATTGGATGGACCTTCTGCAGGTCTGACTTCTTTTGAATTTCATAAAAGGACCCGCAAACAAAAGGTGAATCAACTTCTGCACCGTCGCGTTTCGGGTTGACCGTCAGGCCTTTCAGCTCCTGTTTGACAACATCTTCCCGATGGAGCCTGGACCTCACTGGAAAGACTCCAACATCCAGGGGCACAACTAAATACTCTGGTTCAACAGTTGTATGTCATGAAGGAACAGAAACATACAGAAACCAACACTGAGTTGGGAGCAGCTCATTTACCAGGGAGGGTGAAAGTTCGCAAGACGCCTTCCGGACGAAAACTCCTCACAGAACGAGGAAGGAGAAACTGCCATGTTGGCACTTCTGCATCGGGATAAGGATGTGATGTTTCACATGGAGACCCCCAACCAATCAGTGCGGCGGTCTATTTTCCTTCTTCTGGGGGGTTGAACTTAGGAGGTCTCTCTGTCCTAATACACACCCATACTGCGGTAGAGTCCGATGGAATTCTGTTGGAACTTGTGACCAGAACTCTGTTCCGCAGAAACCATGATGTTTCGAAGCCAGAAATGTCTTCATTTTTGCGGTCGAAATGCTGCCCAAGTTGCGCGTTTTGCTTGACCCAGACCTGGCATTTGTCTCTGCGTTTGCGTTTATGATGCAATATGTTTCGGGCAAGACAAGGTTGGGGAAATGCTCTGGGCCATGAATTTCTCGGCTGAAGCTCAAAAGTGATAGTACTCCCTTGTTCTTGCGTGTTGAGTCTTCTTGGGTTTGGGGAGAAAGGCGCACCGGTGTTGGGGTGGGCGACAGCGCAGGCAGCAAGGACTAGTGCAGTCATTTCAGGGTTGTCCCCCTTGCCCCTCTTTTTGCTTTGATTTCGAAATGCCGTGCAGCAGGTTCGGTGCCAAGCAAGATTGGCAGAGCGAGGCCAAGTTCAAGGTTGGCGATTGTTGGGTTCAGTGTTGGAGACTCTCGCGACATGGAGGAATGGAGTCTGATTGGAACTTGCGAAGGGGGCAATTCAAAGGAAAAGAGGACAAGGCGCCAGAGAACCGCAGAGAACCCAGAACAGAGCACTTGTCACTCTACCGTGATGCGGGTTCAATGAATTTGGAAGTCTTTTTCCTGGGCTTCTCCCTTTCGACAGGAGGGGTTTCTTATATACTGTAGTAGATGCGATTTGGATCCCAGTGGACTTCTTGTATACTATTGTAGATTGTAGATTGGAATCTCTATACAATGGGGGATGGGTCAAAACCCGGAGCACCATGTGACACGAAGGCCACCCAGTTGGTATCCTGGTGCCATGATCCACAGCTGCACAGCCAAATCACCTGTTGAATGTAGCATGGCACCATGTCACGGCAGTGCTTTCCTGTCACTGGTGTGCGCCAGATGCGGAAGCGGATGCGGGATTTCCTGCGCTTGAGGCAAGAAACGGGTCGTCCTGGAAGATTTTGGCGGCAACGCATCAACACAAAAGGGGATGTGGGTTAATCCAAAACTTCTAAAAGAGCTAGTGAAATTGATATGGCTATGACTCTAGGCATTAATTTCTGACTTCGACAAATAATAGTTTTCGTTGGGCGCCAGAGAGGCCTTCCTTGTGAGACAAGCCCATTTTTGAGTCAAACTTGATACCTGAGACAAGAAGCTACTAGTAACAAGTGCCATGCTACTAGTAACAAGTGCCTTACTAGTAGTAACAAGAAGCTACCACAAAAACGGTTCCAGATACGGACGACCAAAATCGTCCCGTGGGTCAAGGGGTCCAACCCCAGAGCGAGAGATAGCGACCAACGACACCGACGACTTCTTCACTCAAACATACACCGAGTGGTCCATTTTACGACCAGCAAAACAAGCTGGCTGTAGCCCAGTATCTCTGAGTGGCTGACGAAGGGGTTCTCCTCTTTTTTTTGGTGGAAAGCACCACTCTCTTCAGTCTAATTCAGAGCGTCTGCTTCGAATTGTGTGAGAGACCGAAAGGTGGTTGAGCCTGACCGTTCTCCTCCTGCTTCTAGGCCTGGCCTTTTTCGGGGCCCGAGGTGATGGGGTAGACATGGTGATTCTTTGGCCAAGAATCAGGTGCATCCTCCAAGTCATGTTTGCTTTAGCCCGTGGCGCCCTGCCTCCTTACTTATATAATTAAGCAGGTGCCTACTTAGTTAAGTAAGGGACTGACTAAACACGCTACTAGCTACTGAGACGCTACTACACAGGGACGCAGGATAACTCACGCTTCTTCAAGGAAGCTCCCTCCGCCTGAGGGCGTGGGGAGCTCCCTGGAAGAAGCGCTCACACTAATGATTTGGTTCCTAGGTTTTTAGCTCATGTGGATGGCACGGCTCTGCCTTGGATGACCATGAAATCCGAAGACCAAACAGGGGGTGAACTCCACTTCCATGATTTGAAGGAGTGTACTTGGTAGTCGATTTTCCAGTGGACCTGTCTGACCAGGTTTGGACGGTTTTCGCCGCTCTTCCAGAGGGTTCTTTTCATGTCTTGCAGTCGCCCGGGCGTCGTGGACCCGAAGCAAAAGCCGGACGACGTACCAAGCAACAGAGACTTTTTGGCCGGTGTAGCTTCGACTGCCTGTGCGGTATTCCATAAGCATGAAAGACGCACTCAAGGAAAAAGAGGGTTCGATGGGCACTGCATCAAAACGGGGGGAGCCGAGCCTCAACGATTTCTGGAGCCAAACGGCGCACTCCAAGCGAAGAAATGGCGAAGCACCCCGGGCCACAGTCGAAGACTTAGGAGCCAGGTTGCGAACGAAACAACATGAACGCACATTGTTTGCTCTGTCCTCTTTGGAAGAGGAAAACACACCATGCAACAGAGACTCTTCATGACTCTTCTAGGTTGACGTTTGCCCGTTTGCCATGGTGGAACAAGCTTGAGTAGCCAATTGCTATTTGATGCTGTTTGCTACTTTTGGCACGCATGTTGCGAAGCTATCCACCATTTGGGATACGATTCGATAAACTGATCAATGGTGCTTTCCCAAACATCTCAGTTTTCTTTTCTGGAATTGCTGGTCACCCGTCACCAATCTGGACATGATTCCCTCCACATGGGCGGCTCATGATGTTCTTCGCCGTCTGCAAAGTGGAGCTACGCAGCGAAACGGCCGTCGTTTCGCCTCGACCTGCGGTCGTTTTGTGTTGGCAGGCCTGTTGATCATCTACTGCGTGGCCAGCACTGGCATGGCTTTGGCGAGTGGAAAAGGGTTTTAACCAAGTGAAGGGAGGAGGAGTCAATTTGAATCTATACTTTTCACGTTTCTTGCCTGATATCTTGTTTTGCTGCCGGATATTATCCGTCGTCCTGACAATTGGGATCTCGAAGGGCAACGAAACCAAAGCCGGTCTTGGTGTCTTTCAGATTCTCCATCTTCTAAACAGTGATGAAGCCGATTGAGAGAGACGTTTTTCATTTTCTGGGCTCTCATGGGCACTTCCAAGTGTATTCAAAAATCGAGCGAACTACAGCAGCCTCCTTCCTCCAGGATCTCGCCGAGTGCCTCTTTCCGTCCTTCTTCTCCTTCGTCACTCCCGGGTCCCTGCTCTCGGACCGGCCGTCAATGGCTGACTGTCGTGCGCCGGCATCGCACGCGTGGAAGGCCAGTTTGCAGGGCAGCTCCGTCTACACGGCCGAGACGCCGCGGCTGTTCCAGGCGAATGCAACATTAGCTGCTGAAGAAGCAAAGGTGTAAGAGGTGTAACAGGGAAAGAGGGTTGGAGTGCTTGATTCGTTGGGGGGGGGCACGGGGAGGCCAGTGAGATAGTGGATGTAAGGCTAAGGTTTGGGAAGTTGGGGCACATCTTTCCTCTCCTATGCTTGTGGGTGGTGCAGAGGATCCCTCCCTGTGCTTGCAATAGGTTTCGTGGATGATCCGGGCATTGGTACTTCAACTCCGCTGGTCCAGAAGTTCTTGAAGAATGCTTGCTTGGGTCGGACACCATACCCAGACTTGGTACTTCTTTTGAAGAACTCTCAAGCCTTCAGCGGCCTCCCAACCGATCTAAACCCTCGATTTTTGCTTCTGAAGCTCGTTCTTCAAAGCTATCTGCTTGGTCCGGAGGCTTTTCGTTCTTGTTTTCTTTCTTTGTCCATCGCCCGCAGGTGGGCCATCGCTTATACGACAAGGCCCGCGTCAGCGGGCTCTTCGATCCCTTGTGGGGGCACCGAGGGACCTCGGACCGCCGGTCCCGCGCGCGCGCGCGCGCGCGGGCAGAGCGTGCGCCGAGCAATCGACGGCCGTCAGCGTTGGCTCAGTCAGGTTCCAGAACATGTCAGCGTTTCGTCCCGTGGTGGGATGAGGATGGAGGGACACCGGTCCCATCACCCTTCCCCGGACTCGAGTGGGGAGGGATTTGTTTCATGTGATTTTGTGGGCCCAGCGCCATTTGTGGTACCTATAGTCAACCCAGGTGTCCAGGTTTTGAACCACACCCATTTGGAGTTTGGACTTTTAGCAGTCCAACATTGGAGTGGATTGGAGTCTTAGGCAGCTTTGTCCGTGACTCTGCATCGGCTGAGGGAGGACTACCAAGCTCCGATGCGGGATGCTTTGCAGGAAGCCAGGCGGGTTCGCTCCCGGTGGAGCGCCACAGTGGCACTGATTCACGACCGACGGCGAAACGCCGCAGGCGGTGCTCCCCGACGGCGTCGACGTCGGCGCAATGTACCTGGTTCAAGTGCGATGCAGGTGGAAGGGTGACGTCGACGTCGACGGCCAAGAAAGAGGGTGACTGGCACTGGAGGCGTTTTGCGCTCTCGCATTTGGCTGAACAGGGTGACGTCGAGCCCCTGTGCACCGACGGCCCGACGTGCACCGCCAGGCCCTTCTGCTGAGTTGCAGGACAGGGTGGGCCACGACTGAAACGCAGACAGGGTGGGCCACTGGGGCGACGGGGCCGTGACTTGGGAGTGAGCAGATTCATGGGGGAGCGTTCTGGTTCTTGGTCTTAGGGGAGTTTTCCATTCTGACCAAGCTTGGTTTTCAACTAGACACAACTAGGAGAGTTTTGCCCTGGTGTAAACAACTCATGGCCACACAATATATTGCCAGCATTGTTTCTTAACCCAAAGCCGAGTCGGGCCTAGCCAAGGTGTCGCTTGGCCTTGCCTGCAAACATCTGAGAGACAAAGCGCGCGTGTCAGTTTTCGAGGGTGTCAAGCATCAAAGATCGAACCTGCCGCATGCCCTCTTTGTTGGCTGTGAAGGTCATGACTTTTTCAGGGCAATCGATGCCTCGGAGCAGTACGACAAGGGCTGGCATTTGGTCAAGATTCTCCCAACCATTTGGTTTGGGTGTTTCGGTGCTCGGGAGGTTCGGTCCTTCAATGGCCACTGTCCACCCCTTCCATCCCCTTCCCCCCAAGGATCGACCACCCTCCCGTGCTGACCAGGACGACCTCGAGCCTTCGGAGTGCCAATGCTACACTGTCAAGGCCCGGTGAAGATTCACTTCGACTGTGAGGAGACGGGAAGACGGAACTGCAACGGAGGTCGGTTCGAACTGGAACTGGAACCTTGGTCTCAGAAGTGAATTGTGAAGGTCGATTTCCACTTCGTTTTCAGGTCTGGACATGTTTGGAATAGGAAGAGATTCAGAAACCCGGAAAGAGCTTTCTGAGCCCACCGACCGAACTTCCAATTTTCACCTGGTGTAACGCGAGTCTATTGTTCCACTCGTGCTGAAAGAACTCGCTTTTTTGGCACATCCTGGTCTAGCATGAGACCCTGGTCGACCATCTATCAGATACGGCTTGAATAAATCCTGGAAGTTTGTCCAATACTATTTTATAATGGTCTTTAGGTGACTCCGACAGGAACTTCCTTGATGCTTCAATGAGGCAAAATATGGTCTTTGGACTTCTAGGGTTAAGTTTCGTCTTACTTCGTTCACGCTGTACACTGGGCATATTGAAGGCAGTATCACCTACTGGTAAGCAAGAAAAGGAACCATCCTGCTCCATTCTGCTACCAGTGACAACGTCTTCCCCTTTACGAGTTTGGCATCGTTCTCTGGTGGATCCAGGCCAGTTCAATCAGGTAAGATGCCTGACTTCTTCCACAGCTTGAATGGCCAATCTTCCGAAAGTGACTGGCTTTTCACTCTTAATTTGCTTCAGACCTCCACTTCCTTCACCACTGCCATGCACGAGATGGAATGGAAACACATCCTGTTAAATTTGCTGCTGAAAGCTTGAACAAGCGTTGTTCAACATACTGTCACTTGAAAGTTCAAGTCGAAGGCCTTTCACCACACTCGCTGCTTAGGTCCGAACTGAGGACACCATAGTCGCCTCAGTCAGACTGTTCATCTTGCATTTGATGCCAAGCCAGTTCAGCACGATGCTAGTGTGAGGCCACATCCAGCAAGGACTTGTGGACACCCTGCTGAGACACAATCGAAGGGTCAACGCTCTAAGAATGCGAGCAAAGGAGAGCCCTCTCCACCTCCTCTGCGATGTGGCAAATGCACATCTTCGCTTGCGACTAGAATTTTGTCCACACTCTTACACACTTCAGAGTCGCGGTAAGAGATCTGAGTATTTCAACCCCGGCATTCATGGCTCCCACACAAGCTTGCCTTGCGCAGTGAGTGGTAGCCTTCGTGCCTTTGTGCTTTCCCAAGTAGTCCTAATTGTATCGATCCAGAGCCAAATCATTTTCACATAGATCTTCCGAAACAGCCGGAGAGGGATCCCTGTCGCAGCCGACCCTTTACTTTTGGACCCATACCGGTGATTGTCTCATGTTGGGTGAACAAAACATGGTTCCACCACCAAAAACATCGTGTTCTTAGAGCACGAAGTTTTGAACCTTTAGGACAATGGCAGAATACCAATAGAAGCCTGTAGAAGGCATTCATATTGCTTTTAAGAGGTCAACAGGACTTGTTTTGTCTTGACAAAGCTCGTGTATTGTCAAGGTATGACATGACACTGACACTTGTTTTTGAGTTCTCGTTTCCCAGGTAGGAGATTTCAAGACCTGGTTTGCCCACGACTTTGCATCTTGGGCATTGAAACTTAGGCCATTAGCAAGTCCATTCTTGGGCCAATCCGGATCAGGTGGTGAATTTCTTGATGTCATCAGTTTAACCCGGTCGTTTTCAGGGTGTACTTCTGGGAGAGATGAGCCCTCGGCGTTTCATTCCTCAGTGTCGTTTCAGGGCTCCGGTGCCTGCACCAGTGCGGCAGCGCGGCTCTTTGGTGCCAAGGCAGGGTGGTTAGGCCCGAGCCTTCCAAGACGGAAAACTGGTTGAGCTGGTTTTGTAGTCAAAAAACAGAATGGTTGTTCGGAAAGAACCATTCAAAAACACTGGTGGTAAGAATCTCAGGGTAGCGCTTCGGAGAAAGAAGTCAGTGTTGACCACAGGCATGGGGGTGTGGTTCCGAGCTTTGTGGGTTTTGACAGCAGACCATGTTCGACAAAAACAAGGGGATACACTTGGGTCCACCATACACCTTCAGCTGCAGTTTTTGCAGCGTTTTACTTGCACACCCACAATAATCTCCTTGAACACCTTCGAATTGTCTTTGGTGATTCAAAGGGTACAAGAGGTTTGAACAGCCTATAGCCATCGGCTTAGCCTATCCCATATGTAGTTCCAAGGAGCGAGTCAGGGGACTTCACGGGGATGACGTGATGATCTAGGAGCTTGCGCAATGACTAGCCAAAGACCCAGAAATGAAAGACAAGCCCAAACAACCAGGAACTTTGAAAGGTTTATCTCTTCCTTCCGAAGCCGACCTCCGGATCCGGATCCGGATTCGCTTCGCGCGCCTCCGGGAGACGGGAGTGAAAACCTCACGCAGGCGGTTCGAGCGCGGTGTAGGCGTCCTCCAAATCCCGGCGATTGAGCGACTTTGCGATGACACGGTTGAGAGGTTGAGAGACCAGGAGGTTTGGTGCGCAAAACCGATGTGCGCATGGCCACGACCACCCGACCAACCTGGACGATGTCCTGGCTGGAGATGCCTGGTCCTGGGGTCCTGGCAGACTGTCTGACCTGTTCAACCAGCAAAGAACAGTTCTACGAAGGCCTTGGTTAGATTAGCCTGGAAGCTGGGAGCTTGCTAGGACCCTGCCGCTGTGGTGAACTGAACTGGCTCGTTTTGTGCCACCGGAAGTCATTGACCGATGACAAGCTTCATCAGGAGCTTTCAATTGCAGATTGGTCGGCACGAAACAATGATATTCTCAAGATGGGATGGGTCAAAATCTGGTAGGTCTATGCAGCTTGACCTTCCAGGTTGGTGAATCCTGATTTCATCACCCACAGCCATATTCTCACCGTGTCTCAACCAACTTTTACCGCCGGTTTTGACTCGGAAACGCCTCCGGAGGCTGGAGGCATTGCTCAGGGCCTCTTCTGGAGCTGGGCCGGAGCAAGGCCTTCCGGGGCCGGAGAGCTTGGGAACTCCCTTCGAAGACGAACATCGCTGTCAGCGTGCAGGGGTACCGATGATGAGAATGGCTGGGATGAATTAAATGATGAAATTCCCTCTCCGAATCCATGGGCGATTGCTTGAAAACACATCCGAATCCTTTGTTCAGGTGCCGGAAGAATCATGTCTCATCTCCAAATCCGACGATTCTTCCAGCACCGCAAAAGTTTCCTCGAAAAGGGGTCTCCGAGATGGGCCACCCACTTTGGAGACGTCCAGAGCGTGGGCCAACTCGGTGACCGGTGACCGCGCTCTGTGCGCCTCATGCGAGTCGGAGACCGCCCGAAGGCTGGGGACGGTCTATTCGAACGCCAGCACTTGGGCCGAGGGGCTCTTGGAGATCGAGGCCGAAACGTGGGACGTTAGTTGACTTCGGATGGGTCGGACTTCTGAAAGGTCGGGGTGTGGCTGGTGGGCAGTCGCTAGAGATCTATATAGATGTGTGTTGACTATAGCTGACTAGCTGCTATGCCATTCTGGGGGTCCCACCGTTTTCAAAGCGGCATCACTATTGTGGGAGGAACCGCTGTGACGTCATTTTTTGGTTGGGGACCTGGGGGGGTCTGTGAGGGACGCATGCGGAGGAGCAGTTTCGGAGTTTGAGCTCTAAGACCCCCTGCAGTTTCGATCCAAAGGGAACCTCCCCGGTGAAGCGACATATGTTTGATCCAAACACGGTTGACATTCTGCTGATTTCTTTATGTCTATAATTAAGTGTGGACCATGAGATGTCAGAACAGACCCAAAGATGCCATCAAGAAGGGTAACTTTAGTTTTATCATTAACTGAAGGTGGATGGGCATGAAGATCATAGATCATAGAGTAACTTAATGCTCCTCTATACAAAGGGGATCCGCATTTCCCGGCTATCGCAAATGGTGATGATCCGGGCACTTAGAATTCAACTGGCCCCACTCTAGAGGCGTGCATCAGAGGACGTCACTGCACTTTTCTTGCTTCCCTTTGTGGAACTGGTCGGAACAGCTCAGTGTCCTGAATCGTGTGTCAGACGGCGGCAGACCTGGGGGACTGCTGGCACTGACCTATCCGGGAAACGTGGAGAATTGGCCCGGCCGCTTTTGGAGGATTGCTTTCCCGGTCTACAAGAAGGTGGTGTGTCCGGTTCACCCAGGGGGGAGAAAGGCCTTTACTAATCGCCATCATCACCATCATCACCATCATCATCATCATCATCATCAGCATCACCATCATCACCATCACCACCACCATCACCATCCTCATCGTCATCCTCATCATCATCATCATCATCATCATCATCACCATCACCATCGCCATCACCATCAGCGCCATCACCATCACCATCATCACCATCACCATCATCATCATCCTCATCCTCATCCTCATCGTCATCGTCATTATCATCATCACCACCACCATCATCACCATCACCATCACCATCACCATCACCACCACCACCACCATCACCATCACCTTCATCGTCATCGTCATCGTCATCGTCATCGTCACCATCACCATCACCATCACCATCACCACCAGCATCATCGTCATCGTCATCGTCATCGTCATCATGATCATCACTATCATCACTATCATCATCATCATCATCATCATCATCATCATCATCATCATCATCATCATCAATCATGAATCATGAATCATGAATCAGGAACCATCATCACCAGCATCATCACAACAATAAAAACAACAATCATCATCCACTGTGACTGGTAATTCGATATACTCAAGATGGTTTTGTTATTCTTTTTCCAGTGATCTCCGGCTTCTTCAGTCGTTCACTCCGCAGTCGTCAGGTCTGGAGCAGTGGAGGCCGTTCCTTGAACCCCGCGGTGCAGAGCACCGTCGAGGCGGTGCCTTCCTTGGCGGACCCGTTTCGTTTCTTTTTCTGCGCGGACATGGGATGAAAGAAGGACCATGACTTCATGTTTATCTATAATTGAATTAGCTTCCAGCTCACTCTTTATCACACATCCGTGAGATGCTTCACTTGGTGTCGGCTTTTCGCACGTCTTTTTAGTGTATGGCAGGGGTTTTCACAGCTGTCCTATCGTCCAAGAGAAAACATGTTGCGAGACTCTGTTGGGGCATCACTTGCTTCTTTTTTTTGCGGAAAGAACGGCAACACCTTGCTTCTCCCATCTGACTGGAAACACACCCAGAGATCGCACCACAGATTTTTGTACTGGTAGTATTATTTCCCTCCTTCACAAAACAGGGTTACTGTAACTTAATCTAATTATTATTGTTTTTTCTTATTTTTTTTAAGCACTGCATACTTAAATGGAGCGGGGCGAACAACATCAATTTCATTTGTTATGGTGCGACTTACCCACCTCTATTCTGAACTATTTCGCTGAACTTACGTGAAAAAGCTTCTGCCTAGAAGACTGAAAACCTGTGTGAACGATGTGTGTATCCGTGATTCGACTGCAAGCGTTGATAACTCCATATACCTTCTGTAGTTTGACTGTCCATGGCCAAGACAAATTCTCGGTTGGAGCTACTGGCGCGTAGACGGCTATAAGCTAGCACACTCTGTGCAATGGTTCACAAAAATGGGGCTTTGAAAGACTTGATATCAGCTGGTTGGGAGTCTGGAGTTCACAGGACACTCACAAAGACTCAATTTGAGATCACAGTTGACTTGGTTTTTAGAATGAAAAAGGCTCAGCACTCTTTACTCAAAACCCTGTAAAGCCGCTCTGTGAGCCCTCTTCAGAGTACTTCTTTCAACCTATTTGTAGCACCCTGCAGCGCCAACACAACATCCATGGTGGCAGGTGTCTTTCTTTATGGGTCTCTCTGGCTGCCCGTATTCGTCACGTGGCGCACCATGTCTTTGTAAACACCGCACCCCAGGCCTCTTGGGAGACGGCGTGTCTGCAGATCCTCTGCTTTTGTGGCGGCATGGAGTGTAGGACCCGTCGAGATGCTAAGCCGTGGGTGGCGAAGAGCTTCGCACGGATGGGATATGAATAGGGAGATCCCCAGGCAACGACCCCCTTGGAAGAGGAAGAAAGACCAACATCCACTGGGCCAGGGGGTCAACCTATTCAAGTACATATCCAAATCTGAGGCTCAAAAGTTAAACGGATCCCGATGAGAGACGTCCAAGACTATCTCACCATGATACGACCCCCCCACTTGTTCGGGCCACGTTTCGTCCGATGATCCGACTATGATGGTATCCAAGTTCAAGCCTCAGGATCCAAGTCTGCCAAAACCTGTCCCTACTGGTTCATTCCGACCCAGTAGAACCCTCGTCAAGGTTCTTCATGCACTCATCCTCGGAGGTTGGACTCATCCTCGGAGGTTGGACGAACAGTTGGAGGTCTCTCTTTGCTCGGATCGACCGACGTCGAAGCCCAACGGAGTCCCGGAACCATGGGCTTTTAAGGGTCTTTCACCAAAGAACCCTTGTTTTAGAAAGGTGTTTAGACTCCAAAACCAGGTCAAGCCGGTCGCTTGGAAGACGTGAGCGGTCTGGAATACGATTGGACGGCGTCTCTGGAAAACACATCCTGTCACACATCGACCAAGGAAGGCTTTGGGATCGACCTGTGCTTTGGTGCTTTTGGATGCTTTTGGTCTCACTAGTCACTAATCCGTGTTTAAGCCATACAGGGCACCGAATACTCCAGTATATACATGTTTTAAAGATATAGATGACGAAAGAATAGCAAAAAGCAACCTATAGTTATTGGAGAGTCACGCTTGATTGACCGGATGTGTGAAGTAGATAAGTCGAAGCTTCTGCCAAATCAGAGTTAATTTGACGCACTTTCCCGTCAAGAAAGCTGCCCCCCACCGGCACCTATGGTGACCCATGGCGGCACATCAGTCATGTTCTCAACGCCCCGAGCGATCGCGTGGAAAAACGACAAACGAAGGAGCGAATCCTGGTCTTCGTTGGGGACCTTGGCTTCAGCCTCAGCAGGGAGAGGTAGGTACTCTTTGGACCTTATCTCCCCCAGCCGATTTCTGAGTCAAGATACAGATTCTCTTGACACCCCGGACCCCAAGAAAAACCATCAGGGATGATGGCTCTGAGGACGAGATGTTGAAACAGGGTGATGGATGGATGTAGACCATGGCACCCAAATTTAGGCACCAAAATCAAAGTCTGGAACTGAACTCTTCCTGGACTTCACCTATTCAGAAACACCCAAGGAAATCAGAACAAAACAAACTTGTTTCGCTGCAGCCGAGTTTCGCTGACCTGCGTTTGGTATATCCATAGCTGCCCGGCTTGCACTTCCCCAAAAGGGTGAGGTCACAGACGCAGCAATCGGCTCTGCTTTTGTTCTCATGAGTCTCCTCCATCAATTCCACCTTTCCTTCAACAGCATGCTGATGGGTATAGGCGGGACGCGTGGCAGTCGCGCAGGCGAACAGCATGATCATGCTCAGGGCTCTCATCATTAGGACAGGATTTAGAGGATCACAGGTAACTTGCCAGCTAGGTATGAGCTAAAGCGGCTGCGGAGAAGAATAAGTGCTGGTACATCCGGGTGCCAAGTGCACAGCTCGTAGTTAGAGATGCAGGCCATAGAACTCTTTGCAGACTTTGCGACCAAAAGATCAGAAATGCAAGGGATCTGGGTGCGGCCTGACCTCTGGAGGTGTTGGGATGCGGCAGCTGGTGTTGGGATTGCTATGACATGGGCATGTAGGGTTCACTCACAAGGTGTGGAAGACAAAGCGTTAGTACAGACAGCTCAAACGCAGCTGAATGTACTTGAGACTTGCCAATCTTGCGTGAAAAGAGGACTCATCCTGAGGCAGGTCCCCTCCCCTGCACCGTTGGCCGCTGGGCACCTTCTGCTCGCGACCGAGGAATATGGCACCACCTTTGACTCAGCTTGGCAGGGGCTCTCAGGGTGAGGCTTTCTGGGCTCTCTCATGTGTGGTTCAAAGTGCCCAGTGGAGTCTTCTGACTTCACAGGATTTGACATAGATACCCTCCCCGGGCACGGTCACCGGGCACACAAGACTAACGACGATCTTCACCGGCTTCACCGGCCGCCACTTCGGCACCAAAGGATTCCGGTCGCTGCACAGTGCGACCTGCGGTTCTCGTTTCGATGGGGCGACCACAGTTGCGGTGGCCTTGTAATCTAGATAAATGATCCTGACACGACAAGGCCACCGCGTTTGGAGCCGAAGACAAGCCGTTTGGCCGGTAGAGCATGAAGAAGACATGACGAGTCCTGCCTGAAAGCAGCATCGATGCTGACGACGACTGTGTGGGGGTGATGTGGAACATGAGCAGTGAGCGCACGGAAACGTCGAAGAGATCTGCATCCGCAGCTGTATGGATGCACCGTTCGTCAAGGCTGGTATGGTTGCGTACATCATGATGGTCCAGACAGTCCCTGACAACTTGTGACGCTGATGGGCAGCAAGTCGTCGGGGATCAAAAGACAAACAGCACCTCCCTGCCTTGTCAGAGAGGTCGTAGCTGGCACAGCGGCGAATTGAAACTGTGTACTCCTGTCTTGCTGGCTGGCATTGAGTTTTGCACTAATGCCTGGCTTGAGAGCTCGAAAAATAGCAGCAACGAGTACTTTTTGAGATCTTTTGAGAGCCGGCGCACCTCCCGGCATGTCAATATCCGCCCAACGGGTTCAAACGAGGATGACAGTCTGACTGGCATGCTGAAGTCGCCACAGCTGTTGCTTTTCTCGGTGCTTGCTTGGGCACATGAAATGGCGGCCGATGCTTGCGTGCTCGGCGTGGCGGAAGAGCACGAAGCACCGGCCGGTGACCAATGTCGAAGGTCATCGAAAGCGCCAGTCTTTGTGACACCCATCTGCGTGGAGTCTGTCACCATGTCCGTTTCTTTTTTTTTCAGATTTTGGACCGACTTCCGATAGATAAAGTTTAGCTCCCAAAAAGGAAAGCCAGGGGCTTTGGTATGGCGAAGCCTTCGATTTGGATGGAGCATATGAATGGTTGGAGAGCCTCTCCCTCATTGGTTGTCCAGGTGAGAAGTCTATAGCCGGGAGCATCAAGCCCCACGCTTTGACCGTGCCACCACGACATTTAGGTATGAGTCGTATGAGGGCAAGACTTCCCCAGCAAGTCAGCTTCTCCGTTTCGGGCAGTGGACACCCGACCCAAGTCAGCATCATTGTTGCCTTGAACGCTTCACGGGTGTAGACACCTCGCTGGCGAGGCGATGATGTTGCCAGCATGTACGGACTCGCTGCAAAGTGTAGCGCCATGACCCAGCAGAGCAGAAGTGATGCTTCTTATGCTCGTGTAAGCAAGAAGGCAAAAGCCTCCCAACCAAATCTAGCCTTCATGTTTTTTGCTTCGATGCTGCGGACTGGGAATGCAGACTGAGTTCCAAGTGTCCGGCCGGCGGCGCGTGAAGGACGACTTGTAGTGCGCTGCGGCCCCGACTGTGTCACGAGTTGAAACTGATGTGTCGAGACCGCAGTCTATGTCAGATGTGGCCTACACTGGGCGGGAGATGCGCGATGTCCACAACAGGGCCCGCTTGCAAGCTCTGGGAGATCACAGCCGCACCCTGACATCCGCGCAGATCGCCAGGCTGGAGTGGTAAAGGGCAGTTGCCGCAGAATCTGTTGGCTAGTTGATGTCCACAGGTTGGAGTGCCCACCGGGCACTGGGTGGCATCACCAGTCTATCGCCCGACCGGAAGGGGTTGTCAACACTTCCATGAATTTGAATCTTCGCCAATAATGGGCCGACCTTGTTGAAGTAAGCATATTATGCTTCTTAGTCATTGACCTGACGTGAGGGCTTTCTCTCGCCCTTTCATCACGGGGGAGCTGCGGGTTGCGAACATTTGAAGATGGTGGTCAAAGTAAAGCCAGGTACAGGCCGTCCTGGATCGCCCACTGAAAGGCTCATAGGATCCAGGATCGGACATTCCTTAGCGTAGACCATTCCGATGACTCCATGGGAGGCACAGCCGTTCTTCTTTGCGATCTGATGCCATTCTTTTTCGCCAACGCACACCATCCGCTTCCTCAGCGCGGGGGTGTGACCTCGCCGAGGTCATTGAATGAGGCCAATGACTCTGTGAATGCCGAGACCTCAGTGGTCACCAACGACCCAGGCCACCGCGCACCGGGTTTATATTCTTTTTTGGGCCGCCACGGTGGTCGCAGCGGTTGACGCTGAACATTGCCGGACCAGAATCACATCGGTGTAAAATCCACCCAACTCCATGGAACTTCAAAGGCCTCCAGCATGATCACACCGCTTGACCGAGCACGCAAGTGAGGTTTGCACATGTGAGCAGCTTGCATTGGAGGATCCAGATTTCTGACCGACACCCACGTCAGCCAGGTGTTTGCGTGTTTTACTTTCTTGCAAGGGATAACATGTTGGTTGCATCGAAGGAGCCTCCGACACACCCACACCATGACACACCCTATATACTGTAAACATGTTGTTCCAAGCAATCAGTGACAGAATGAAAGGGGCTGGGCGCAGGTTTTTGGGCGCTTGGCGCTTGGCCCAGAAAACAAAGTCTCCAGTTGCAGCACCAAAAAACACCATCAAACTCCGGCAGGAAAACGGATTTAAGGCACTTT